CTATATATTATAATTCTAACAATCATGCATCAACTTCACATCACAAATTCACAGTCATATCAATCCATTACAATTCTTGCAATTAGCACTATCATTTTCACATTCATAATCCACACAAATCTTACAATTAACACTATGTCAAGGTCACGTCACAACTGACATAAGTGATACGGGTTAATTACCTCACTCATCCCACACCATGCTAGGGGCACGCCCTCCTTGTAGCATCACTTACCCAGGGGTTGTCTCATCCCTGGTCATTAGTGTGAGGAACCACAATCACATCACAATTCACACAAATCTTACAATTAACCCTATGACAAGGCCACGCCACATCTGACATAAGTGATACGTGTGAATTGCCTCACTTATCCCACACCATGCCAAGGGCACGCCCTCCCTATAGCATCACTTACCTAGGGGTCGTCTCATCCTTGGTCATTAGTGTGAGGAACCACAATCATATCACATCAACATCTCATTTCATGTCAACATACTCACATCATGTTATCAATTCAATATTAAAACAATAGATATAATGTATATATTGTACGAAGGCAGCACACCACATTCCATGTCTAGATCATCGATTTTACAAAATAATGTAACAATAAAACAATAACTTTTACAAATTAATATAATACTCAACAAAATTGCCAATTTAATATAATTTAAACATAACGGTAAAATCCCCAATTTTTCCAAAACCTAGCCCACAGGCACTTTTCTACAGTTTCATTCTCCTTCTCAGATCATCATTCTTACAAATTAAATATGTATTTCTAATCCTCAACACATACAGAATCTAATGGGATCCTTAATTTCTCAAACAGAAATAGTCCAATTTTTCCAAAGCCTAACTTACAGACACTTTTCTATGATTTCGTTCTCTCTCCCAGAGCATCATTTCTACAAATAAAATATATTTTCATAATCCTAAATTCATACAGAATCACATAAAACAAAGAATTCTCTAAACAGAAATAATCATAAAATTAGGGTTCTTCCTCTACCCAATTCCCTCATGTAACTCTACATATAAATAGTCCCATTTTCTCCCGTACCTGGATAAACAACAGTTGGAATAAAACAGGGATCTCTTGGTCTCCTCCTCTAAGTGCCCCTTGGTCTTCAGAGAGAAGAAGAAGGAAAGAAGAGAGAACAGAAAAATAATAGGAAAAGAGAATGAGAGATGTGTGAAAATGACAGGTGAGGGGCGCTATTTATAGGATTTCAGGCTCACCTACCGAAACGGCCCGTTCCAAAATTGGAACGCCCGTTCTGGACCCTTCAAACCTACGCAAATTTCTCAACTGAAACGGCCTGTTCTAAAACCGGAACGACCCGTTCTCAAACTCAGCAGAACGGCCCGTTCTATTTCCAGAACGGCTCGTTCTCCCTCCGGAACGGCCCGTTCTCCCTCCAGAACGGCCCGTTCTCCAAACCAGAACGGCCCGTTCTCCAATTGGAACGGCCCGGTCTCCCACTTCCTTTTCTAAGCATTTCCTTATTCCGGAACGGCCCGTTTTACTTTTGAAACGGCCCGTTCCGGGCAACGAATTGGGCCCTTGGCCTAGTGAAAAATTGGGTTGTTACATATACTGGCCGACGTTCCTAAGGTTAGATATCCCCCACTCTCTTATCCAACCTCACACAGAACCTCTAGTCGGTTTTGTAGGAGAGCAAGTTCACACTCGAGGGTACGTGGATCTGCTGGCAACCTTCGGAACTTCTAACTCAAGGAGGATCATGGTCCGCTACCTCCTCGTCGAAGCCAACATATCCTACAACATCATCATCGGAAGGCCGACGTTAAACCAACTCGGAGCAGTGGTATCTACCCCACACCTCACGATGAAAATTCCCAGGAAGTGGTGGCAAGATCATTTCTGTCAGAGCAAACCAGAAGACAGCTCAGCAGTTGAAGGTCTCATCACCCGAGGAACGCCGCAAATGTGACCCTCCTACAGTAGCTCATATCACCCAGGTCAACATCACTGACCTGGATCCGAGATAGGATTCTCATGACGAACGGCCAAGTCCCATTGACGAGCTTGATGATCTTCAGGTCGGCAAATTCCCCGGACAGTGCACAAAAATAAGCAGGCAGCTAAACCTGGAGTTACAGCGGCAACTTGAAGCCGAAATCTCCAAGAATTTCGACCTCTTTGCATGGTCCAGGGTCGACATGCCAGGTATAGATGCTAACTTCATCTGTCACAGGTTGGCAATCCACAAGGAGGCAAAACTAGTGGCCTAGAGGAAAAGGAAGGTCGGGGTGAGAGACGAGAAGCCACCATCACCGAGACACAAAAGTTACTGAACGCGGGCTTCATCCGCGAAGTTAGATACACCACGTGGTTGGCAATCCACAAGGAGGCAAACCAATGGCCTAGAGGAAAAGGAAGGTCGGGGGTGAGAGACGAGAAGCCATCATCACCGAGACACAAAAGCTACTGAACATGGGCTTCATCCGCGAAGTCAGATACACCACGTGGCTGGCAAATGTGGTACTGGTGAAGAAGAGCTCGGGGAAGTGGCGCATGTGTGTCGATTAGACCGACCTGAATAAAGCATGTCCCAAGGACTCATACCCCCTACCAAGCATTGATAGACTGGTTGACGGAACATCCGGGCACGCCCTACTCAGCTTCCTAGATGCTTACTTCGGGTATAACCAAATCATGATGTACCCACCGGATGAGGTGCACACGTTTTTCATTGTGAGACCCCTAGTTCTTCTTTTCCCATTTTGCCCTCACCCACTTTTTACTCTCACTCACACTCTAACTCTCACTTCACTTTTACTCACTCCCGCCTCACTCAAAATTTCACTCTGTTCCCTTGGATCTTTGGCTGGCTATTACAAGGTGGTGGAGCTGAGTGATTTGGTTGCTAGCTGGTGTTGGATTTCCTTCTTCTCCGGTCCCATTCGTTCAAAGTTCACTTTGTCTACTCTTTGGTCTCTTTCCGGAACTAGGATTTTGTGATTCGAGGTAAGGGAAGCTAGTTATTTTGGCTGTTTCTGGCTTGGAATGAGTCTTAGATACTCCTATGCTGTTTGTTAATGGATGATTTCTGGCTGAGATGGATGAAAAATCGAATTTTTAGGGTTTTCAGAACTTTGAAGAAATTTTGGGGTTTTTGGTGATTTGTGTTTGCATGTTGAAAATGGATTGTTTTTATTGATATTTGATGAGAATGGGAACTTTTGGCTGGATTGCATGTGGATTTGCTATTAAGTTTTGCAGGATTTGGACAAATTTTGAACTTGGGGAGAGTTGCTGCTGAGTTCGCACTGGGTGTTGTTCTTCGCGCCGGGCGCGTGACCACCAGGGGACTCTGTTTAGGCAAGCCCGCCGGGCGCAAAGCAGTGTGCGCCGGGCGAGCTTGCACATGGGAGTCTCTGGTTGGCCCGCGCTGGGCGTGACTTGGGCTGCGCCGAGCACGATATCAATGGTAACATGTTTTGGGTACTCTAGTGTCGCGCTAGGCGCGCGTTTGGACTCGCTGGGCGCGGAGGCTCCTTGGGAGTCTCTGCCAAGAGAGCACTAGGCACAATGCGAATTGCGCCGGGCGCGAGACCTTGGTAGGTCTCTGCCTTCCCCACGCTGGGCGCGGGTTAGGCCACGCTGAGCGCACGAGACTCCTTAGAGTCTCTGCCTGGCAGGCACTGGGCGCAATTGGAATTGCGCCAAGCGCGTGAGAGCCTTGGACTCTTGGGTTGAGTCTCGCCGGGCACGAGTACTCTTGCGCTGGGCGCGCTGGTCCCTGGTACTCTCGGGTTGAACCGCGCTGGGCGTGACCTCGAGTGCGCCGGGCGCGCAAGGAGATATTGTTATACATGCTATTAGCTGTTGAATTTTTGCTAAGGTTGATAATCGATGTTGTTATATGCTGAACTAAGCCGAACTTGATGAATATGTTGTGCTGACTAGGTGATAATGCTGAGAATTGTTGTTAAGTTGAAATAGATGAAATTGCTAGGCTGAGTTGGGCCGTTATTAGTGATTTAAAATGCTGAATTATAATATAGATGTGCTCTAGCTGATTTATGAGTAGAAGGCTGTGTGGAATGACATTTAGTTGTGTTGTATGCTGATTGTGTTGTGTTGTGCTATGAAATGTTGAGCTGTATGCTATGTATGGCCACTGTGGTGGTGCTGTTCTAGCCGCTATGTCGGTGTTGTTTTAGCCACTAATGTGGTACTGTTACTGCCGCTAAGAGGTGCCGTTATAGCCACTATTGTGGTGTTGTTATTGCTGCCAAGCAGTGCTGATATTGTCGTAATGCGGTGCTGTGAATGTTGTATGCAGTGAGTAGTATAAGCAGTACTGGTGTGCTAATAGCCGTAGTTGTTTTCTACCATAATATTATGTATATATATATATATATGTATGTCGATTTTATTTACACTAGCTTACCATTTGTTGTTTCCATGATGTTTGGACTGCAATGATCATACTATGTATGGGAGCAGAGCAGGGATAAGTGGGTGTCTAGCAGTGAGTCTTCAGCGGACCGGTGGAGCTGATCTCTTTTGTGATTATTTTGTTGTTGAGCTACTTGGGATAGTAGCATTTGATTGTAATTTTTGTACACTTTAACTATGTTCAGATTGGATCATGTATATGTATATTCTAGACTCTATATGTATACAGTTGTTCTTTTCTGTGCAGTGTTTCTAGTGTGTTGTGCCATGTGTAGTGACCAGTCAGGTCGTTACACATCACTGACCACGCCAACTTTTTCTACCGAGTGATGCCTTTCGGTCTCAAAAACGCAGGGCCATTTACCAACGACTGATGGATAAGGTTTTCCACCAACAGATTGGGCAGAATATGGAGGTTTACGTTGATGACATGGTGGTCAAAACCACTTCCGCCGAACGTCATGCAGCCGATCTGGCCGAGGTGTTCAGTCATACAGAAAACACAACATGTGCCTCAACCCAGAGAAGTGTGTCTTCGGCGTCCAGGGAGGTAAATTCATTGGCTTCATGATCACCAGTAGGGGCATTGAGGCCAACCCGGAGAAATGCAAAGCCATCATCCAGATGCAGAGCCCCCAGACTGTGAAAGACGTCCAGCGCCTGGCAGGAAGGTTGGTTTCTCTTTCACATTTTATCCCCAGGTTGGCAGAGAAAGTAGGGCCCATCTTCACCCTGCTGCGAAAGCTGAAGAACTTCGAGTGGACAAACCAGTGCGAAAAGGCTTTCAAGAACTTCAAAGTCTTCCTCACGACTCTGCCAGTCCTCCAGAGGCCAGATTACCACGTCGACCTCCTCCTCTACCTGGTCATGGCAGAAGGCGCAATCAGCGCAGTCATAGTACAAGAGCACCAGAAAGTGCAGACGCCGATCTACTTCATCAGCCAAGTTCTCCAAGACACGGAAAAATGGTATCAGATGATTGAGAAGCTCGCACTAGCACTTGTCACCGCAGCTCGGAGGCTCCGACCTTATTTTCAAAGCCACCAGGTGGTCGTCAAAATTGATTACCCAATCAAGCAAATCCTGAGAAAGCTGGAGCTCTCCGAACGGATGATAGCATGGTCGGTAGAACTGTCCGAGTTCGGCATCAGATATGAAAGTCGCGGCCCCCTAAAAGCTCAGTGCCTGGCAGAATTTATGGCCGAACTGACGCCAACATCTCGGCCGACGAACAACAAGTATGGACTTTACATGTTGATGGGTCCTCCAACTCTAAGGGTGGTGGTGCAGGTATTATCATGGAAGGGCCGAATAAGGTCACCTTAGAGCAATCTCTGAAGTTTGGCTTCAAAGTGACCAACAACCAAGCAGAGTATGAGGCACTTCTCGCAGGGCTAAGGTTGGCTCACAACCTCGGAGTGCAGAGAGTGAGTTGCAACAGCGACTCAAAGCTCATGGTAGAGTAGCTCAGCGGGGCATATCAGACCAAGGATGCCTTATTGCAGAGGTACTTCCATGTAGCCTCCCAACAGATCTCCTCCTTCGAAGAGTTCACAATCCACCATGTACCCCGCGAGCAAAACTCATAGACCATAGGCCAAGGGCCCAGTCACTAGAGCTATGGCTAGAAGAATCCAACAAGAGTTGGACCTTGTGAAGACTAGTGGACTTGTCAAGCCCAAGGTATTCTTCACTTGGAATGCTCTATCATAAAGAGAAGGCCTAGTTCTACTTGTATATATTGTATAGTTTTTACATAGTCTCTTGTATAGGTTATTTTTGCCTTTGTATTTGTGAGACACTTTACTTGCTTTTTCCTAGTGTTTGTATATTGTTTTTAAGGTAGGCTACTTGGAGAGTTTAGCTCCATTTAACCTCCCTAGTTGATACATTCATTTTGTATTTTTTTCAGTAGGGAAAAAGGGGTGGCATTTAGCAATGCTTGAGGGTATGATTAGTAATTGGGTCAGAACTGGGCCTAGGCAAAATTTTGCATATTGGATTCATTTTTCTCCTAATTTTTCATAGATTTGATTTAGCTAGGTCTCATCATCATATGATGAACCTAACTAAACCAAATCAAGGATTTTTGAATTAATTCATGGAGCAAATTGGACCCAAGGCCGCCTAGCCTTCTTCCTTTGTTCATGGCTGAAATTCACTTGTCTCCTCTTCAAGGTTTGAAGCTTGCCTTGCAAGCTTCTAAACCTTAGTAGGTTAAGCTTACCTTACCATGTTTCTTAAGTGAACCATGGTCAAGATTAGCTTCTCCTACAAGCTTGCTAAACCGTGGGAAGTTAAGCTTACCTTACCATGGTTCCTAGTGAACCATGGTTAAGGTTAGCTTCTCCTAGAAGCTACCTCTACCCTATATATTTGTAATTACCTCTCTTGTACTCACTTTTGACAAATTTGAGAAATAAACATCAGATTTCTCTCTCAAGAGTCTCTCCAAAACCGTAGGGAATTATCTCTCTTAGGTTTCTCACCAAAGGTTTTCAACCTTTGCTTGGTTCCTCAAGCTTCCTACACAAGCTAAGGAGAACCGAATCTCTTCAAGACTTCTCCTCCATGAAGAACACTTCGTGGAGCTTCAAGAGTCATTGAAGGTGACCTCAAGAACACTCACGGTCCTAAGCATGGAATTATTGAAGATCATCAATCCTCTTCAACCTAGTTCCATCAAAAACGCAAGAGCCAACCTCCTATCCAAGCTCGCCAGCACGAAGAGCCCCGGGCAAAATCGGACTATCATACAGGAAACACTAAACTCGCCCAGTCTAGACGACAAGGTCGCCAACACCAGTGACAATGCAGACCAAGGATGGATGGCAGATATTTGGAACTACCTGAAGCAAGGAATTCTACCCGAAAATAATGGTGAAGCTCGGAAGATCAGGGTAAGGTCAGCTAAGTTCATCATAGTCGGAGACGAACTGTTCAAACGCGGCATCTCCACCCCGTTGCTTAAATGCTTAACAGAGCCTCAAGCCACTTATGTCATCGAGGAGATCCATCGAGGGATATGCGGTATGCACTCTGGAGCACGCTCGATGGCGACCAGGGTACTCCGAGATGGGTATTACTAGCCCACACTGAAGTCGGACTGCCAAGCCTACGTACAAAGATGCACGGAATGCCAGCAGCTCGGCAATGTACATCGGCAACCGCCCGAAGCCCTCCACCAGATGATGTCGTTGTGGCCTTTCGCCGAGTGGGGAATGGACATCCTCAGACCATTTCCTCCCGCGAGGGGTCAGCTCAAATTCCTCATAGTGGCAATCGACTACTTCACCAAGTGGATTGAGGCATGCCCACTCGCCAAGATCGCCACTGAGAACGTACAGAAGTTCACCTGGAAGAACATCATATGCAGGTTTGGAATTCCACATTCCCTTGTTATCGATAACGGTCTACAGTTCATTACGCAGAGTTTCGAGGACTTCCTCCGCAAACTCGGAATCAAGCACCTCCTAACCTCGGTAGAACATCAACAGACCAATGGCCAAGCCGAAGCTGCAAACAAGGTGATACTCTAAGAGCTCAAGAAGTGGCTAGGAACCACCAAAGGAAAATGGGCCGACGAACTTCCTAGCATCCTCTGGGCGTACCACTGTACCCCCCAATCGACAACGCAGGAAACGCCGTACAGGCTAACCTATGGAGCCGATGCCATGATCCAAGTGGAGGTCGGCGAGACGTCTCATCGATGTCATGTCTTCGACAGTGAGCAAAACTCTTAGGAGACAGCGGTCAACCTCGACCTCATTGACGAGCTCAGTGAAGAATCCCGGATTCGTGAGGAGGCCTGCAAGCTTCGAGCCTCCAGAAGATACAACACGCGAGTCCGACCTCGATCTTTCCGGGTCGGAGACTTGGTGTGGTGACTACTAGGCGAAGCACGAAGAGACCCATCAAAGGGGAAACTTGCACCCAACTGGGATGGCCCATTTCGAGTTATAGAAGACTTAGAAAATGGGGCATACCGACTAGAAGAACTCAGCGGCAAAGCCATCCCGCGAACTTAGAATGCCACGCATCTCAAGTTCTATTACAGTTAAATTTGTACGAATGAGTTGTGCACTCTTTTCCCGAATCAGTCTTTTGTCCCAAAAAACAGAAAAATGGGTTTTGGCTGAGAGGGTTTTTAACGAGGCACACCCATAACATTAATAAAATGACTCATTCCATTCATGACTTCTTGATTTTACCCTGTTTTATTATAAAATGCATTATCTTAAGTCGAGGTCGAGTTCAAACCTTGACACAAATATTTTTATCTTAAGACGAGGTCGAGTCTGAACCTTGATACGAACTCTCAACCTGAGGTCGAATTCGAACCTTAAGAACAAAATCTTAACCCGAGGTCAAGTTCGAACCTCGGTACACATTATTTCACTTTACACTGAGGTTGAGTTCGAACCTTAGTATGAATTGTTCTATCTTCATTGAGGTTGAGTTCGAACCTTAGTATGAATTGTTCTATCTTCACTGAGGTCGAGTTCGAACCTTAGTATGAATTGTTCTATCTTACTCGAGGTCGAGTTTGAACCTTAGTATGAATCGTTTCATCTTACCCGAGGTCGAGTTCGAACCTTAGTATGAATCGTTTCATCTTACGCTGAGGTTGAGTTCGAACCTTAGTATGGATTGTTTCATCTTACGCCGAGGTCAAGTTCGAACCTTAGTGCGAATTATCCTGTCCTATACTGAGGTCGAATTCGAACGCTGGTGCAAATCACTTTAAACTAAAACGAAGTTTAAACGTGTTTTCAAAATGCAAAAAATGGGCAAAAACTAAGCCTAAAACATGAGCACAAAATAAAAGGTCACAATAGAATCATTGAAAGCGCAAAATGAAAACCACAAATGAACAAAGCAAATTATATACATAGGTTCGGCAAATACAAAATGTTCAAAAAACGAAATGAGCAAGATAAGCTAAGTTATTACAAAATCAGCCTAGGTGGAGGCATTGTCGCTCGAGCTGTCCGGGAGGTTGTCTTCCTTCACCAGCCTCCCGAAGCGCACCTCTCTCTCCACATGCATAGCAAAGAGGTCGACTCTAGGTGCAAGCAACCTCGCCTGACGAGCTGCCTTGACGAAGCATTTCTTATGCTCGAACACTACAGCTCGCTCGGTCTCGGCAAGCTTCCTCTCCAGCTCCGCCTTAGCATCAGCCATCTGATCACGGTCCACCTTTAGAGCCGCGACATCCTCTTCCTTGCCACTAAGAAGCACCTCATCACAGAGACGCTTCTCAGCAGCTTGTCCCAACTCGACCTTCAGCATCGAGACCTCATCCTCAAGGGAGCGCACTCTACCCCGAGAGAAGGTGGAAAGCTCCTGAAGCTCGCCAACCTGAGCAGCATAGACCTCGTTAGCCTTCAAGGTGATCTCCAATGACTTCTGGACCCTCGTGAGATCTCTCCTCGTGGCTTGAAGCTCGGCCTCGTTCTGCCTCTTAGCCTCGCCCAGGGCGGCCCCTAACGCTCGATTCTCCTCCTCCAGAGGTTGGACTCGGCCCTTCATCTTCTCAAGGTCCCCTTGCTGCTTGGACCACTTGTGCTTCTAGTGGTCCACAATAGCCATAGCCCTATGCATAAAGACCTCAGCAGAGTCAAGGCCCTCCACTGGCCTGACCTTCTCGATCATAGCCGAGCGCAGCGAACCCTTGGGGTAGAAGGTCTCAGCGGTCACCCTCGAACTCCACAATGAGTCTATATCTGACAATGCGCTCACATGATCCAACCATGTCAAAAGGTGATCCTTGTCGAAGCATTGAGCAATGTATTTACCCTTGTTCAGGCAGTATAGAAGTAAAACCACAAGGAAAGGCACAAACCTCGGCGGCATGGGCAACCTCCTCAGCGACCACTTGGGAAACTCCCTTAGGTGGAGGACTCCCAGTGAGGTCGAATGCACCGGCGTCAGCAACCTTAGAAGTCACCTCCTCTGCATCTCGAGGGGCAAAGGTCCCCCCGACCTCCTTCTCCCCCCTCTTTCTTTTTCTGCGGGTCTCCAAGGGGGCAATCTCCTCTTCTTGAGGCTCGGGGACCTCGATCTCGGCAATGTTATAGCGAGACTTCAACTCGCGCCACTTGCTCTTTCCCATTATGCCTGCAAGAAAAAAAGCCAAATACATCAGTAAAAGAAAATTTTACAAACCCTGACAACTGAGGAGGACAAGGTACTCCCTCCTTAGCCCCCTCTCCTGGTACGCCGGGTTAGCAAGCGACAAGAGGAGCTTGCAATCCAAGGGACGAGGAAGCGCTTCTAGGTCTTTAATGGCAGTAGCGTCCGAGATCGTCAATTGAAGGTTGGTCGACCCGTTAAACCTGACCAGAGCCTGCTTCCAGTAGAGAGGGAACCTCGGCAACCCACCGAAGTGGAACACCTCATCTTCTAGTAGGTCGACCTCCTTGGGCAGAACCTGGAAGAACTCTTGTTTGAAATTCTTGTAAGACTGGGAGTAAAGAGAAAACAGCCCCCAGCCTTACTCCCATTGAAAGACACCCAACCATAGGGAGGTACGCCCAATTTCAGTTAAAAAAAATGAAGAAAAACAGGCAGAGACAACCCTATCCCTAGGGTCGAGCACAGGACTTGGAAAGCCCTCAAAAAACCCCAGCTATTGGGGTGCAACTGGCAAGGAGCCGAGTTGACAAAATTCAAAAAATCGCATTCAAATTGGGTAAATGGAAGGCATACGCCTAAATCCATAAAGAAACACTGGTACATGTAGAAAAGAGGAGGATTGGAAGTACCCCCCATATATACACGCTCGCCGGGCTGAAAAGGTTCAAGCCGGATGAGCTTAGAGATGGACGATTGACAGATCTTGTGCGATTTTCACATCGCATTAATCTCCAAGAACGACTTAAAGACGCTTTAGAACTCTCTGACGTCACCCCTGACCCACACGTAGCCAGAGATGACGGGAAGGGTTCCCTGGGTTGGTTCCCCCCCTTTTTCTTTTCAGCAGCAGCCGTCTCGAAGGCCACTGCCTTGTCGCGCGTCGTGCCCTTGCCCTTGGCCGGGGCAGAGGGGGCGGCGCCGCTATCACCAGCCATCAAAAGGTAAAAAGACTCAAGGAAGAAGGAAGGTGAAGAAGAAGAACGAGAATAGAAGATAGAGAGAACGAAGTACTTGGTACTCCTTTGGTAATAACAGTACAGTGGAAATACGGGGACCTGATTGCCGTTGGAGACCCGATTTCCAGTAACGGCAACGACGGAGAAGAACAGGAATAAGGAAAGAAGATGAAGAGTGGGCGGAGGCGATTGAAACGTCGAGAGCAAGATAAGAAAGAAAAGGAATGAAAAGAGTAAAGTGAAGTGGAGAGGGCGCGAGAGAAAGAGAAAAGGGGTTTCCCCAAAATTCAAATTGGACGTGACACATGGAGAGATTGGGGACAGCACTGACGACGCATTAATGGGACCCCATTATGATGGGCACATCCATCATTGCATAACCGTCACTTCCCATTAACACGCCGTCCACGCGTTATGGGAACGAGGTGACGGTTACGACACATGGCATCATGACAGACAGGTGTACGCGAAGGGTCACGGCCCCTTGTCGAGCTCGGTCTTAATTCCTCGACCCGCGGTCTTCGGAGCTCGGGGGCTAGTGTATTATCCGTACCGCTATGCCGAGCTCAAGCTCGACATCACAGCGCGGAGTGACCTCGGACACACGCTAGGCGACATCGGCCAAGACAAGGCCCACTATCTAAACAGATTACAACCGATCTCAGGCCCAAGGCCCAGAAAAATCTTAATTCACACTAAGGTACGTGCATTACTTATACGAGACCCATACATCCACAAACACTAACTTTAGCATCGAAATCTCTTTTGCAGGTATCACCCCACTCGGAACAGCAACCGTACCCAGCGAAGAAGGTTCACCGATCTTGCCCAGCAAATCGTTCCTACGACCGATCTTCAGTAAAAACAGTAACCAATAAAAAATAAAAAATAAAAATAGACACTTGGACATTTGTTGCACTACCTACACGATACCAATTGTAGAAGACAATGAGTCAATTCTTCATAGAATCACCCATATTCTTTTTTGTTTTCTTGGGAACAATTTCGATGTCAATATTCATCAGTCCCTAGTTAAAATGTTATTAATAAAGTCAAAACTCACATTAATCTAAACAGCAATATAATTATGTGGGATTAAATTGGCATGCTCACCACTTAACAAAGGCAACAAACACTAATATTAAAGATTGAAGATAAAAAAAATAAAAATAAAACTATAAGTATAACAAATGAAATTTCATAAACCCTAAGTTAATAAATGCAACCCGAGCAGAATGGTTTGAGTGGACAAGGCTAAGCAAAGGCATAATAAAAGATGGTACAAGTCCAAAGATGATGATTACTAACGGGGTTGGGGCTATAGCTATATATGTTGAAGAAATGGGTAATCGGTATATCCAAGCACAGGATCAGGTATACAAAAGGTAGTAGGATCGGGGTCGTTTAACTGAGCATCGAGCTGAAATCTTGTGGGCAGATCTGGATTCGCCAAGAAAAGGCGTCCATATGCGACCAAATCGGCAGCACCACTTGATATAGCTTCGTTTCCCTCACTCCTGTTGTAACCACCAGCCACAATAAATGTCCCCTTGAAGACCTTTCTAATTGGCAATAGAGACCATTTGGTGTTGACTTGTGTTACCATCCTGGGTTCAATCATGTGGCAGTATAGAATTCCCAGTTCATTCAGTGATTGAGCCATATGAATAGCCAGTGCTTGAGGGTCACACTGATCAGACTCATCAGGGAAAGGGCAGAGCCTAATCCCAACCTTGTCTGCTCCAATCTCATCAGCAACTGCCTTCACCACTTGCAGTGGGAACCGACAACGATTTTCTATGTTACCTCCATACTTGTCGTTCACTTTTCCCTTTAGGAATTGATCCAGTAAGTACCCGTTCGCTCCGTGTATCTCCACCCCATCAAAACCTGCATGTATCAAACTCCATTATGCTCTTAATTTTCCACTAGTACACTATAACATCAAATAGTATACCTGCTTCTATGGCATTTTTGGCCGCCATTTTGAAGTCATTGACAAATTTTGAAATTTCATCCGTTGTCACACTCCCAGAAAGAGTCGTTGTTGCTTTATTGTTGGTGATATCCTTATCAACTGGATTGTTTGTGCCGGATATTGCAGCTTGGCCATGATCTGGTTCGTATTCTGCACTTTATAGATAAATCAATGATCATCATTTGACATCTTAAATTGTTAAGGAAAAGATTAAGTTATAGATTACATCATGTTAAGGTAGATTCAGAATCAGTTAAAAGCTTTAAATTAATGTATTCAATTTAAAATATTTGATAGAATTAAGTGTATATATAATTACGTGCTAAATGTAAAATTATATAAAAAAAGAATTTATAATATGAAGAAAAAAACAATTTTTTTATTATTATTATATTCCGATGAAATTCATATAAACTTCATTAATTTAAAAATTAGAATTTATCAAGTGAAGAATGGTATCAACATATTTAATGAAAAGTAGATACACAGTTTTCACCTATTATGTACACGAAAAATTATGTTTATAGCATTTCTTGATAATATATAACAACTATATCGAATTCTTGAAAGGATATTTATAACATAAATATATTGGACCGAACTGACCCACTAAAAAAAAATGTATAATAATAAAATTGTTAATTAGTTGTACAGTAATGGAGTAGGTGAGTTGGAAAACGAAAGCAATGTACCATCGTTGAAGACTATTGCCGCGTGCCAAAGTTGACAAAAGAAAACACCCCCCTTTTCATGAACAGCGTTCACAATTGGTTTCCAAGCTTCCACATGCTCAGTTTTCCAAATGCCAGGTGTATTAGGGTACCTTTGGTCATCCAAGAAAAGAAAATAAAACATTAATTAGTAGGAGCTAGATAATCTTAATTATTGTGTGCCTAAACATGGATCTCCATTTTAATAAATAAATAAGATTACCCATGAACTGCCGTATCAGACACCCCAGAGGCTTCCCCGATCAAGAAGCCACCTTTAGTTGTTCTTTGAGAATAATATAGAGCTGCATGCGGTTGAGGGACGTAGTTGTAAGACCTCGATCGTGTTAACGGTGCCAACACTATCCTGCATGCATGTCGTATCAATTATCAATTATCAAATAACATTAACATAAACATGCACATCAAAATTAGTCATGAGCTGAACTAATTTAAGATGAGAATAACAAAATTAAAGCATGCTCTCAAGGCTATATATATATACCTGTGAGATAGATTAAAATTTCTCATATTGTATGGGGTGAGCAGGGGTATGGCCTCCCTTTCATCCACTTCTTTGTGGTGGATCGTGATCGTGTTCGAGTTCGCCATTCGTCTCCTTCTCACTACTCAATCAGTGTCTTGTCACATTATATAGAAGAATACAAATTATACTATGAGATATTTTTTGACTCTTTCTCGTTTAATATTTTTTTTTCCTTGCATTATACCCAGAGTTAACAGATAAGTCGGTCAATATTAGTTTGACTTGTTCAACTGCTATTTATTTATCACTCTGTAGCATTTAGGTGCGTGGGAGTTGGGACATCTGGTGATGTCTCCCACTTATGTTCTGTGGCGGAGTTTGACCGAAAACTTTGGAGGGACCAAAATGTTGATAATATTATCTTTATATGTGATTTAATTATTTAATTATATTCTTTAAATAATAATTATTTTCTTAAGTAAATATTTTCAGATAATAGAATATTTTTCTTATTTTTATTGAAATACTCATCAGATATTTTTGTACGACTTTTATGCATTTATTTAGTAGGAGAGAATTTATTTGTAAATTATTTTAGTAAAAACTTTGCAAGATACATCAATTTATTTCATACAAAACAAAATTTGTATAACATCTGTAGAGAATATTAAAAACTTCATGGGTTTCTTTTCGATAAATTAAGGCATATATTTTTGCAAACACATAGCAAATTTTGAAAAAAAAATTGTAAGAAAAATTACAAAATTCATAAAAAAGAAGTTAATTTTCATGAAAAACCCACAAGAAAAATACACAAGGAAAATTAAAATTTTAAATTATATTGTATAAATTTCCTATACAAGAATGGGAACATAAAAGTGGTAAAAAAAATGAATTTAAAGAAATATTATAAATGTCAATTACTTACTAATGAAATAATTCATATATGAAAAGTATTATTAATATTTAAAATTTTTCATAAGTAATCATACTATAAAAGGAAAAAAAAATCCTGTAAGTGTAATATTAAAATAAATTTTCTATAAAAAATTTAAAATAATAATGAAAAAAAATGATTGAAAGTTTTAATGATCTAACCATTAAAATAAAAGTTTTTAATATATAAGTTAAGTTTACAAAGTTTAAAAAATTTTGAAAACTATTTATACTTTGTTTCATTAATCAAATCAACGTATAAAGTGTTTTTATGATTATCCATCAATTTGAATTAATAAAATGAAGTATTAAATCATTTTCAAACTTTTTCCAATTTTACAAACTTGACTTATGCATTAAAATCTTTTAATTTAATAGTTAGATCGTTAAAATTTGATGTAAAATAAAAGTTATATATAATAAAAAAAGTTTAGAGTGTTGTGATGGGTCTTGGAGTTCAAGTATGAAATAAAGTCTCAAATTGGTTTGAGTTAGACAGGTTGAGTAGTATATAAGTGAGAAAGACTCATCTATCTAATACTTTAAGGTTTTAGGTTATGTTGCGGTCTCAAGCTCATTTATGTATTACTCACTACCCATTGATAAAGTGTTCCCTCGATGTTGAACTCCCCCGATCCAACTATGATATCAGAGTTGATGATTCAACTAAGTGACTCGTGATCGGTTTAGATGTTTATTAGCCAATAGAATTGACAAAATAATGGAATTGGCTTGAGATTCAAGAGTGAGATCGTCCATTATACTAAAAGTCTCCCTAGAGGTGTGGAGAATGTGTGTCATTGATGTGTGTGATGGTAGAAAAGAAGACTTCCACTTGAGGATGAGTATTGGACTTCAAGTGTGAAGTAAAGTCCCACATCGATTAGAGTTGGATAAGTTGAGTAGTATATAAGCAAGAAAGATTTACCTACATAATGTCGTCTTAAGGTTTTAAGTAATATTATAGTGTCAAGCTCACTTTTGTGGTTTACTTATTACTCATTGAATGAAGTGCATAAAACTCTCTAACAGTTGGGGTGGGGGTTATAAAGATTCATCGCTCCTTATGTTATATTTGGTGGAGAGATAAGAAATAAAGGGAAGTGCGAACTATTCTCATGATACTAATATTTTTTTTGGATTTTCTTAATTATTTGATAATATATTTTGGAAATGATATTAATTTTTTAATATTCTTGTACAATATTAAAATTAATACCCAAAGAGATCTAAATACATCTTTTGATCTAACAATTTTGGACTAATCATCATAACATAAATTTTACCTTTTATGGTATATCCAATTTCCACACATTTGCCAACCATTCCTTCCCCTCCTCTCCAAGCCATAGATCATGTAAAGAACTATATGTTGATCTCACTAAGAATTTCTAGATCTGTCTTTATCTAAATCCATCTATCCCTTTCTCTTCTTAGTGGTTTGCAACCCTCTAACATACTTTCCAACTCAACCACTTGTTTTTCCCATTTAAACCAATTTCTCCTCCATTTCAAACCCCATTTCCAATTTACACTCACCCATTCCCCATGATAGAAATCAGGTTTCCATGTTGTAGTGAATTAGAAAAAATCCTCGGGAATTTAGAAGTCAAGTTTTCATCACCCAACCAACAGTCTTCCCAAATTTCCCTTTTCCCTCCTCACCACCCCACAAAAAGTTTCTTTATATATTCTCTTATTTTTACTTGCAATAGAATAAGACATTTTAAAGAAAGACAAGTAAAAGAATGGGAATAAGGAAAGTATAGAGCTAATGAGACATATTCTTCCAACAAAAACAACACCTTATGTTTTCACATGGACAACTTCATTTTGAATTTTTTCACGATTGGATTTTACATTTTTCCCGTACTAGGATTTGTCACCACCAATAGTCTCAAATAGGTAAATGAAAGTGACATTAATCTATAATTTAGGATCTCCACTTGCCTTTCAAGGGTTTCACTGTCCACTCTAATAACTCCAAATGAACTCTTAAAAAATTGACTTTAAAATCTAATCGATTGACACCTACTAAAATTATATAAATGTATCTCTCTTTACAATTATTATTATGAATGAAATAAATATATCAGTCTTTATTTTATCTTCTAATATTTCTTCTTAGAATATTTCCAATAGTGTAATATTTTGCTTATTAACGATATGTCCCAATGGTTTGATTAAAAAAAACTCACAATAACGATGATTGTAACGACCCGCCATGTCCCTACACTTAGTGAAATCGCACTACTACTAGTGAACTAAGAAAATATAGAACTGAATGACTCATACATATAGGTATGTAAATATAAATATAATAACTATGTGTCTATGTAAAAAATATAGCACCATATATGTACAGTCATCCCAAAATCATAACCTCCTAGTGTCGGTCAAGCACACACAACAGTTACCCAAGAAAGTAACTCTGACACTATGACAAAACTCCTCCTCTCGTAGTGATCACCTCAACTCCAAGCTAGCCCTGACCTGCTTTCATACAAGGTATGATCATCGTAGTCCAACCACATGGAAACACAAGGGTAAGCTAGAGTTCAAAGAGCAATCATACAAGTGTAGAATAAAATCTATACTACTATGCATCCAAATCAAGTCCTAAAGGAACTTCCATCTCAATCAATAATCAATTCATCAAATATGAAGTCAAACACCATACACTTCATCATCATAGCAGTCATGCAATACATGCAACTCATGAAAGATATCAATGCATATCAATCATCTAATGCGTCGTCACGCATACACCTAGGATATCTCCCTAACAGCAGAGCAGTATAAGTGACATCCCAATCCTACCGAAACTACCTCAACCATTTTCACGCCCAATGCGCCTGCTCAGTCATAACTAAATAGGATATAAATCCTCACTCGGGTTTACTCGGATGATGTCACTTACACAATTGGAAGTCCGGTTCCACCATCAAGTATAGCACAGCTGGGTACAGGCTTACCACAACCTTGGCATGCATTACCAAGTCACTTGTGGAGTTGGCCCACCTACTATCCATAAGGAATCACGCACCTTCCCTAGTACTTGGTTAAAGGAATAACCCTCGACCTCATAATCCGCTTCAACACTAGCTAAGGACTTAGAGGAGACTCACCCAAACCAGTGGCCTACCTGAGCACCACTCTCACCCAAAACCAGTGGCCTACCTGAGCATCACTCTCATAATCAATGGCCTATCCAAGCACCACTCTCAAGAGACTCTATGTGAGCTCTTCCAGTTCGAAAGCATTTTCCCTCTCCTCAAGTCCTAGGCTAGACACATGCCATAAGGCATCACATGCAATAATACATCATACATCATACATGGTCTATCCACCATCATAATCAATATCATCCTCATATGAACATATACATATGTGATATCATATTCAAACATTCATACATATCATTACCAAGCATATATATGAATCATTCACCACCATACATCATATATCATACATATATGAACCAACTATACATTATAGTATCAAACAACTTTTTAACCAACCTGATAACAACTTAACACATCAAAACAACAAGTATCTCCCTTCGACAACTATCAAAGAAAACAACATCCAAAGAGTTATACTCATCCAAATAAGTCCAAACATATCTCAAAAGAAAGATAAGGGGATTTCCTACAACTCTTATTAAGACCTTGAATCCTAATTCCATCATCTACTTTGTCAAAACTTACAAAAACCGCAACATCTATAACTAATGCTGACAATTTGGCCCCTATTCAATAAAACAGCCATATCTAGAGTTCTATACCTCCTTTTTAGGTGATTCCAATTCCATGGGAAAGATACGATCCAAGTCTACAACTTTCATGAATACCATAAAGTCAAATTCTGAAAGCACACTCACGCCCGGTGCAGCCAGCTCGCTCCCAGCTTGAATTCATCCAGAAATTGCTTCTGATGAATACAAGCTTGGCACCAATAATATGCGCCCGGTGCAAATTCATACAGCAGCCCCAAAACTTCAAAAATTTCGTCCAAAACCTGAAAAATAGTAAATCCAACCACATGCAAACCAAGAAACACAATGCATAGACTCCATACAACTCAAAAACAACCTCAGATTCAACATGCACCCACCTGATGCATCAAAATCACCAAAAATCCCATTTTTCCCAAACCCTGAAAAATGAGAATTTCCTCCATTCCAGCCATGGATTCTCCAATTTCATACATCAATTGAGTTCCTAAACTCACATGCAGCCAA